CTCTCTCTCTGTCTGTGTCTGTGTTTCTGTCTCTCTGTCTCTCCCTCTCTCCCTCTCTCCCTCTCTCTCTCCCTCTCTCTCTCCCTCTCTCTCTCCCTCCCTTCCTCCCCCCCTTCCCCTCATCTTTCCCTTGCTCCCTCCCTCACCTCTTCTCCTCCTTCTCTGCCCCTTCCTTCCTGCCCTCTTTCTCTCAAACTATTGCTGCTTTGATGGAGCAAGGAATCCAGAGGGGAAATCCCAGCTTTTTGTGCAAATGTCCCTAAGGCAAGTGGAGACTTTTTCCTTAGAGACATCCCCAAGGTGGTTTGGGTTTGAGTTGATTTGAAAGTCATCTGTGAAATGTACACACTCTTTATTTTAGCTGTTTAACTGTTTGTGCTATGATATGAATAAAAAGAAAGTAAACTGCAAAAGCACACATCTTAATGTCCCTGTGAAAATATCTTATGCACATCAAGAGAACTCCATGCTTGCCCTTTCCAGCCCTGCAGAGATGTAATTCCAAACCAAGGAAGTTGGGGCCACAAGTTACCCACAGTACCCAAGAAGCCCAGGTCAACCCCATTGCAGGTTTATTTCTTCCATGTGAGTGTAAAGCAGCTTCCAGCAAACAATATCATTAAAAGGCATTTTATGCTTTTGGTGAACCAAACATAAAAGTGAAATTGTGAGATATTTTGAGCAACACAGGTTCGTACAGATTGTTTTGTATTTTTTTTTTTTTGGTCCAGTACCAGGAAGTGAACTCAGGACCTTGCATTTGCCAGGTAGGTGTGCCACCACTGAGCTACATCCCCAGCCCCTGTACAGATTGTAAGCCTTAGAAAGAAATGTCCAAGTGGCTGGGTGCCCTGAGAAAGCCTTGTGCATGTGCTTTGGAGACAGTGCGGCCTCTGCTCTTGCTGTTTTCCCAGCTGCTATGATGCTAAGACTTGTAACAATGGGTACAATTTATTAAGAACATACTGTGTATCAGGAACTTGCAAGGTACTTTGCATAGATTTGCTTTAAACTTACAACAATCTGCCAGGAAGTTTCATTTTTCCCATTCGCAGATGCTAAAAATGTTAACTTTTGGAGAAATTGGTCCATAGCCCTAGCTTCATAAGCACGCAGGAGCAAGGGGCACTTGGTAAATACAGGCATTTATGGAAATACACACTGCCAGGGTGCTCAGCAACCAAAGCCCTAACTGACAAATGATTTAATTTAGGGTTTATTTTTTGGTACCGGGGATTGAACTCAGTACCTTGTGCTTGCAAGGCAGGCACAGTGCCACCAAGCTAAATCCCCAGCCCTTTTTTACTTTTTGATGGTAGGGATGATATAGGACCTCCAAATAATATATGGGAAATATTATAACTCCCGACCTGTTTAGATGTCTGATACGCCGAGTTCGTGTTCTCTAAAATTGAAGAATAAGTTCTAGGAACAACGGAGGTTAAAAGTAGGAAATATTTATTAAGAAAAAGATAGCTTCTGTCTAAGAGAGACAGAAGAGGATCCAGAAAGTGGGTTGCCCATGAGCCCACTTTTCAAAGAAATTTTATAATCCAAAATCATGAGGTGGGTACAAAATCATGAGGTGGACGTAAGGTGGGACAAAGCTATGGTCAACTACTGAGATTACAAGTACAGACACTTTGGAAATATTGATCCAATGGGGAAGCAAGTCATGCAGCAAATGTGCATGGAAAGAACAAGGACCTTTCCTAGAAGGGATGGGCTAAGGTCTTGGTCCCCCATTCCAGCTGATTGATGTCTATTTAAATATCAGTCATTACTGTTTATCCCTGGGGAAGTATGTGTAGTCATTTCATCTTGGTCTTGAGGTTTGGCCTTTAATGAATGCACCTCCACCCACTACTGTGTTCTTATCTTTTGCACTAGCTTCTTCTTCAAGTGCATATCCCTCTGACTGCCTATACTATTTCTAACTAACTTAGCTGTCTATAATAGTATGAAAGACATACACACATTCAGCAGAAACTTTATAATGGATCCCCTGTGCCCAAAGATTCCTCAGCTGTGAGTTTTCCACTGATCACACAGAATAAAAGTATTCAGGAAAAAAAATTCCATTCGGACTAAACATATACTGACTGGTTTCTATGCCACTATTCCCTAAGCAATACAATATAACAACAATTTATGTAGCATGTGCATTATATTAGATATTATAGGTAACTACAGATGATTTAAAGTATATAGGAGGAAGCTTTGCACAGTGGTAGTTTTGTAGCCAGTGAGGTTTCTCCAAGGTGCAATTATTGCTAATTAAAGTATATAGGAGGAGCTGGGCATGGTAGTGCATACCTGTAATTCCAGGACTGGGAAGGCTGAGGCAGGCAGATTGCCACAACCTCAAGGCCAGTTTAGACTGCATAGTGAGACCTTGTCTTAAAAAAACCAAGAAAGAAAGTACACAGGCGGATGTGCATAGGCTATGCACAGATACTATGCAATTTCATTTAAGGTACTTCAGCATACTTGGATTTTGGTATCTGAAGGGCTCCTTGAACCAAAAAGGATGATTGTGCTTTGAATTTTGAATTTCAGTCTTATCTCAGGCCTATGACACTCTGTACATGCTGGGCAGGAACAGAGAGCCACACAGCTCCTACTCAGCCTCAGGATCACGAGGGGAAACAGCTGCTCCTCCACCATGTACTGTGGACTGTATTACTAAGCTCTGATATTTGGTGGGTTGGCGGTATTAAGTGCATTTTAAACTTTAATTCTTTCTTTTTCTTTCTTCTTTTTTCAGAGGTAAATATTTTGCCTAGGGACTTATAATTTTTTCAACTTTTTTTTTGGTACTCAGGACCTTGTGCTTGCAAGGCAGGTGGCAGCACCACTGAGCTAAGTCCCTGGCCCCAATTTTTTCAACTTTTAATAGGTTTATTAGAACATAACCCCAAACTAAGTCTAGGAGCACCTGTACATGAATCAAGTGATCTATGTGTAAAAATGTACAGACATATATTTCCAAATATGTTATTTTTTAATTTACAAAAGTTGTATTTTCGAGTCTCTTTATATAGGATTACCAGTACATCTAATAGGATTTTAGAATTTCCCAAATCATATCCAGCCCAGTATAATGCACATTGCCTTTCATCGTGGGGACTACACTCCCTTCACCATCAGCTCCAGCCCCTTTTCCAACTTTATCTTCTCACCCATCACACTCTGACCTCACATAATTACTTGTAACTATCCCAAACACTTCCTTCTCCATACCTCTGTTCATCCTATTCCCTCAGCCAGGAATATCCTCCCCAGAAGTCCTTAACTATTGAGAGCATAGTCATCCTCCAAGACCCAAAAGGCACCTTGTCTGTGCTTCTTCCATCCTCTGTAGAAGACTCAGGAAGAGGGGCAATCATAATTGTTTGTTTGCACCTCAATTTTGGCCTTTCTATGTGTATGGGGGTCCCAGTTCTATTACTATTTTTACCGTATTCAACAGCTAGCTAGCACAAGGCTTAGCTTGAGTATTCATTTGGTAACTATGCACTGAACTGGTCTAAATAGGAAGCATTTGAGAACTATTAGTAATTTAGTAAGGTGAGTCACCAATGGGCCAGTATAAATTACTGGTAAATGAGCCTGACTCATAGTTTGATGTCTTTTGGGGTGACAAATGTATGATAGACATAAAAAATATCCTGCAGAAGATCCCAGGAAATAATATGTTGGTGCTTTTCTTTTTTCCTCTCTGCAGAAGAGTCTTTGTTTACAGTTTCAGACGTGAGGCTAAAGCCAGAAGTGTGTGACCTTTTGGCCTCCTACCGGAAGAATCACCACCCAGCCCAGTCAAGCAAATGCTGGTGAAAAGAAGGGGTGCAGTCACCAATATCCTTCCAGGTAAGTGGTCCCAAAAGTGAGATTCCTTATGGACAGAATAGAAAAGCTACTGCTGCTGGGTGGGGAGAACACTGTTTACCAGTTCAGAGCACCTCTGTTCTGGGTCTAGCTCTTCATCTCCAGTTCTGGGGACAAGTGGCCTAGCTCCTTAGATCTCCATTTCCTAGGTTGAGGAAAAGGAAAATAATGTGTCTCACTTGTCTCTACCACTCCCAGAGGAGAGGTGGGATTCTAAGGACAGAACTTACAGATCATTGTGAGACCGTCACCCCACACAGGTGAAATAAAGCAATACAACTGACACTGTTTCCCCTTAAGTAGGTAGTTCTTTCTGTCAGCTGTCAAGACAAAATCAGAGGTAGGGGTAAGCAGCAGCCCTTAGGCACTAGCTTGCCCAAGTTGGGGGCGGGGGGGGGGCGCTTCCTACAATGCACAACATTCATTGCTAGAATTGACTCAGTCTCCAATAAACCAGGATAGTCACCTCTGTGGTACAAATTACCTTCCAGGGTAATTTTGAGGAGGAAGAGCTGCTGTAGAGGATTTTCCCAAAGCTACTACACTCTAAAAGAAGAAGTTGTGCTAGCAGGAGTAGGAAACCAGGTGGAACAACCCCAAAAGCCACCGTAATACAGAGGACCTTAGATGTCACATGAACACTTCCCATACAGGCCCTTCTGTGATAGGTTAAAAAAATAAAGGTAGTAGCCTAGGCAGAGGAATCAAGGTGGAACCCATGTGCAGGACCAGCCAGTCCTTAGGGGACCCTAGCTGTATCCCAAACCACAGACATTCTCCTCTGACTTGGCCACCTTCTTGGCAACCACAACATGGCCCTGCTCCATCACAGAACTTTCAGGCCTAGCTGGTAGACATGGTGTACTCTCTACACCATACCCAGTATCACTCACAAGGCAGGAGCCAGCTCACTGGATTTCTCTTTCTCTTTCTCTTGGCTGTCTATCTTTGTCACTATTTAAAGGCATATACGCATCAAAAATGTCTACTTTCTGGCTCATCAACAATGATGTGACTTCAAAGAACAGGGAAATACAGGATTACAGCTGTTCCCAGAGCATTTTATGAAATATCCAAGTCTGTATTTTGACGATATACAATTGGCAACACAATAATATGATATTCTCTAAGCACAATATTTTCTACAGCAAAGTTTTTGCTGTGTAATTATTGCCATTTCAAACCAACTACTTTTAAGAAAATAATGAACTTTAGCTATAGTCTATAAATGTAAGGGTTTGCCCTTCATAAAATTATCAAGGACCCTAACAAAAATGGTTTCAGGTGATGGTGATTAATAAACATTATTTCTATTGTTGCTGTTATTTTTTTTTTTTGTCCTATTTAGCATCCAGGAAGTAAGGAGAGCTTTGCTTTTCTGTCTACAATAACCTCTCACAAAGAATTGTTACTTGTAGACATAAATTTGTCATGAAAGAACAATTAAGTGAAGTGTGCCAAGGTTGGTGGCTGTGCAGCAATTGAAGGAGGCAGGAGACAGCTTTACCCTCCACTGGAGTAATCTTGTGATGTCCCTAGGCCTTGATAGTAACGTAAGGAGATAAAACCAGTAGGAGATGAACCACAGAAGGAAATTGCTAGAGCAATTAAACTGTTTAATAAATGGCTTGGGATCCACAAAAAAATCTGAGTGCTAGAGTTAAAGAGACTGAAAGCTGTAATTGCACAGGCACTAGGGGCCTGTAAATCTTTTCTACTGAATTGAATTTATGTTAAAATATTCACTTTTCAGGAGCATAAAAATGTAAATTGGGGTATTAGGACTTGGTAAATGGCAGCAGTTCCTCAAAATTAAGACCCTTGATAAAGCCTTAAAAGTCAGTTTCCAGGATGAGAAAATATGTACACTGATGTGCACAACAGAAATAGAGAAAAACCAAAATTTTCTGGATGCATAGTGGTGCCAGACACAGCCATAGGTACTTTTTACATATTATTTCAAAGCTTGGTATGTTTTGAACAGTGAGTTGTGGTGAATTACAGCCATAATTCATACACTTGGAGATAGATTTTTACTTATTTATTAAACTCTGGGCATTGAATGTAAGACCTTGTGTATGCTAGGTAAGCTCTCAACCACTGAGTTACTCCACAAGCTTGGGATATTTTTTTTTAAACTTTCTCAGTTCCAAGGCTAGGGATTTAGCTCAGTGGTTCCGGCGCCTGCCTCGCAAGCAGAAGGACCTGAGTTTGATCCCCGGTACTAAAAAAAGGAAAAACTTTCTCAGTTCCTATTACCAGAGGTAAGATAACTCTCTCTCTTATTCTCTGTTGCCCTTTCTATCAATGTGTACAATTCCACAAACAATTCTATTTTTTAAATTTTATTTATTCTTATTCCCTTCCAGGACCACATTCATGCTGTTTCAGTTTTCATTTGCTGCGCCTAAGAAGCATCAGATCTAACACCACATGGACCAGAGGTCATACGCTAGCACCTCTAAACTGAAGTATTTTAAATATGATGTCCAAGACACTAATACATAATACTTGAAAAAAATCAATGCAAGGCTATTGCTATTGTCGCTGCCTAGAATTGAACGATGACTGGCTCAAATACTGGAAATAGTCTGAGAAGAGGATTTCTGAACAATTGCATCCATTTTGATAGAGAGCTCTCCGCACCACAAAATCAATTTTCCAACAGGACAGATGGGAGACCGACAACTGAAGGAATTCGGAGACAGAGTTGGTACTTACAGAGGCCTGTCACTCTTGTATTCACTTACAATTTTCCCCAACAAAAGGACTTCTGTAGCAAGGAGAGGATTAATCTAAAGTTTAGAAAATCTCCTAGGAAGATTGGTCAGAAAGACTTGCTTAAAACTATTTGTTATGATTTCCTAGGGGGTACTTCTTCCTTCACTAACTGAATTTTCAGAACACATTACCACCCCAATCCATCTAGATTTTAGGAGTCAAGATTGAGCTGCTGGTTAGAATTGAATTTCAACCTGTCTCCTTATACTGAGTCCTAATTGTGGGAATGGCAAAAGGGATGAGGAACCTAAGCTTCTATTTGATGATGGAGATACTGAATAGGCAGATAAGAGCGAAGAATTCCAAAGATGTAATTCAAGCCTTGTTGTACCATCAGACACACATGCGTGCACACACACAACCCTCAAGAGAAAGGGGAAATCTGTCTGTGCCATTGTCTACAATGACTCTTTCTAAAAGAAGCCAAGGAAACTCAAATTACTTCTGTTGAGGGATTATCTCAGGAAATGTAGTAGCTTAGAGACATCTACATATCCTTTAGAAGAACAAAAGGAACCAATTAAGAGAGAATTAAAAAATAGTAACTATCCACCCAGTGTCTGAGTTGGAAGAAGGAAAAACACATCCAGACAGTCCAAAGAAGTCTGCCTTCATGAGTATTGATAAGGCATGAAACAAAGCCTGTCCAGATGTACCTGAGAGATGAAACAGTGGGCTGAACGATGGGCAGATAAATGTGCTCAGAGAACAATGGCTATTCAACCTGGAGAACAACCAAAAGTGCTGTGTAGAGGGTTCAGATTGAGTCCTGTTCTAATTTAATATTTGTATTAATTGCTTGAATAAAACCAAAGAAGGTACACAATTTATTCATACAACTACTAAGAAAAGTATGATTATTATTAATTTATTACTTTCACTTTGTGAAGGAGGAAACAAAGGCTCAGCCAAGTTAAATAACTCCTCGATGGTAATATGCTAGGGTCCAAAGGCAAACCTCTGTGATCTTTGCACACCTACCAGATTTGTAGGATCTACAGCTCTTGAAGAGGCAACTGATATTTAGCATTGGATCATAATTCTAAGAATTAAGACCTGGCAAGAAACTAATGATCCACAAACCAGAGCAATCTTTATTTCTATCAAATTGTATCTGATTTAAATTCTTACAAGTTGAGCTTAAAATATCTACAACTTAAGTAAGGCTATGACTTAGTAGAAATTGGAACTTTTAAGTACAATATGAATTAATAGCAGAATATGGCTGCCCCCAAAAGATAATGCTAACACTTTCTGGCTACCTAAATGAAGAACTAAGATCATGTCTCAGAGGAGGAGAACGGCTTACTCTTTATATTTAAATGATTACGTTCACCTCCACACATCGTATTTTAAAAGAAACATCATGTTGAAATAAATATTTATTGTACACCTATTAGTTTGCAGGTCTAATCCTCTTTAATCCTCTTAACAAGACTAAGACATCAGTGCAGTGAATCGCCATTTCACAGAGAACACTAAGAAGCCATCTAAGAGGCTAAGACTTAATACGCACACTCTGGCCCTAAAGTCTGCTTTCCCCACCATGTCCCTAGCTCTGCATGCGCCGAAGATGGTTACCAGAAGAGATGACTTGCGGGCTGAGACACAGGGAATAAGAGCTGCACAAAGGAAAACCTTGAGGTCAGACATCCTCTTTCCAGGAGGTTGAGACTGTCACCCACCCTCTGCTGGGTAGCCACGAAGCTAGGACAGATTGCAATCTCCAGGGTGCTACTCCTGATGCAGCAGCAAGAGTCCTTAAACAGCAGTAGACTGAGCTCCCACACAGTAGTAGACTGAGCTCCCACACAGTAGTAGACATCCTCTGTCTCCCAAAATATAGAGAGCTACAGAAGGGATTCCTGGATCAGAGGTCAGAAGGGCTGACCTCTAAGATCCCATCTAATACCAAGATTTCCTGATAGTGACTTTTGGACAGGCTATACTTGGAATTCTGGTAAGATCCTATTATTGCGGGATAGATTCATTTTATTTTTTATAGAAGAGTTTTTTAAAAATCTGAAAAATTACCTTCTGTATAATGGAAGATAAATTATGCTTGAATTTCCTTTTTTCTCCTTCAGTTAATGGATTTGCCCATTCAAAACCTTAATAAAGCTAATTTATAAGTTTCTAAAACATCATTCAAATCTTCGTTCCCTGATTTAACACAATAAACACTCCAGTGTTTGACCTGCTCTGGTTTGAGTGTGGTTCATCCCCCAAAGTCCATGTGCTGAAAACCTGGTCCCCCATGTTGTGGTGTTTTGAGGTGGACTTGTACAAGGTGGGGTCTGGTGCATGGTACCTGGGTCACTGAAGGAGCTGCCTTCAGAAGGGATTGATGCTGGTCTCAGAGAGTGACTTAGTGTTCTAGAGAATGGGTTGTTATGAAGTAGTTATCCTGTGTACTTAACCTCTTCTACATGCAATGGTTCCCTTTCCATGTCTCTGCCATGTTGTGATTCAGCCAGGATACTCTTGCCAGGATGCTGGTGCTGTGCTGTTTGGATCCCCAATTACCAGGACTGTAGGCCAAATAAACCTCTCTTCTTTATAAGGTACCTAGCCCCTGGTATTTTGTTAGAGCAACAGAAAATGGGCTAATGAAGAAATAAAACATTACTTGAGATATTCTTTCCTATAAGGATGGACAAGATGGACCACTAGCTAGACAGTGAAAGGACCAAGAGGTTTCTTGTTTTGTTTAGCATAAGAAAGATTATGCAGCCAGCTGTGGTGGCTCACACTTACAATCTTAGTGCTCTGAGAAGCTGAGGCAGGAGGATCACAAGTTAGAGCTCAGCCCAGGCAATTTAGCAACCTAGTGAAACTGCATCAAAATAAAAAAATTGTTTAAAAGGACTGGATATATAGCTCAATGTGAAGGCACCAGGTTCAGTCTCAAGTAGAGAAAAAAAGAAAGAAGGAAAGAAAGAGAGAGAGAGAGAAGAAAGAAAGAAAGAAAGAAAGAAAGAAAGAAAGAAAGAAAGAAAGAAAGAAAGAAAGAAAGTTTTATGGAAGCATATCGCGCATGATATAAAACATCAGGCATGTTCCCTTCTCAGACTTTTGTGTGGCTCTTCCCTCTGCCTACACCCCATCCTCCCAACTACACAAGCAACAACATCACCTGCATGTGAGGCTGTGGTTCACATGCCATCAGTCAGTGAAGGCTCCTGCGCCCCCTGTATAATGGGCAAGACTCCTGCATGCCAATCCCCTCTAAACTACTTCGTTTTTCTAAAACATACCACCTGATTCTATGTTCAATAATTTATGATTTTTTAAAAATTTTTTTATGTGATTTACTTTTTATTATATTTATTGTTCTCTCTCCTCTGCTAGAATGCGAGCTCCACAAGAACAGCAATCTTTGTGTCATTGATGCATCTCAAGCACTGTGAACAGTGCCTTGCACATAGTAGGTCCTCAATTAATGTCTTTTGGGTGAATGAACTCCTTCACCAATTTGCAGCTGCAAACCAGTGCTCCTTTTCTCCCTAGCCATGTTCTATCTGTTCTTGCTCTTTTTCCCATACATGCTGTGCCAATGCTTTACGTCTATTGTGTATTTTCTTTCTGTCTTCCCCTGTAAAAAATATACCCTACAGGAACAAGGATTATAATGTGTTCTACTCAGTATGTATGCCAAACACCTGAAATTGTGCACAGTCATGCTTACAGGGTTTTTGTGGAAAAAAATAAAGAAATGAACGGATTTGTGAAGTTTCAGAGATTGAAGGAAATAGTATTAAAAGTGCATATATGCCTGGGAGAGGACAGGTGATGTGTGTTCTCAGACAAAGGAGAAAAAGAAAAGTGCACTTAGAAAATTATCAAAAAGCCACTGAGTGGGTGTGCAGAATCAGGAGCCAGATTGCTTTTGTTCGGATCTGGCTCTGGCTTCTAACCATATGACCTTGGGCAAAATACTTCTCTCTACTTTCACTTCCTTCTTGGTAAGACACAGATAATAATAACTCCAGGAGTTGTTTGTGTGGATTAAATGAGTTAATGCATTTAAAGTATCTTAAACAGAGCTTGGCACACAGTAAGCACTCTAAAAATCAACAAGTAGTGATGGTGGTGGTGGTGGTGGTGGTGGTGGTGGTGGTGGTGGTGGTGGTAGACATAGCAAAGTAAAAAAAAAAAGGAACAGAGGAGTTAAATGTGCCAAAGGCCATGGGGTTTCTCCCGGCCAGGGAAGGTATGAGGATAATAAGAAATCAAGTTAGGTTCCTGAGTTAGATTAGGTTTGGCGATGGGACGGAGTGCTTCAGGACACCCAATTCAACTTCTCTTCGTAGCTCTGGGGAGCTTGGCTAGTTATAGTCGCAGGCACTTTGTAATGAAGTGTACTTGGGGTTCACTGACCTCCTGCTTTAATGAGCAGGTTCAAAATTGAGGATCTGTGCTTTAAAATGTAGACATTTTTCCTTGTAGACAAATTACAATTTCTACAAACTTATATAAAATATAATACTGGCATTATTTTTTCCACCCTGAGATCTTTTTGTTTCTTTAGTTTTGTAGTATTTTGTAATTTATTATGTTTAAACATTTGGGGAAAGATCTAGGAGATTTGAGGCAGGAGACACAAAACACCAAGCTAACAGCACTAACAGAGCCCATGACAATGGTTGTGATGGGCCACACATCTCTGGAAAAGACAATTCCCCAAAAGGGTGGCTGGGGAAGGCAGATAAAAGACTGAAGTTAGGTCATGTGACAGGTGTCACTTGAGTAAGATACTAGGGGCCAGAGATAAAAGCCCACGCCTCCTGGTCACATGACCTAGCTTCATTACGATCCCAGTGGGGGGTTAGAGAGTCTGGATGCCATTTTTACTTATTTATTTATTTGTGTTTTTTCCCCTTATTCTGTGATAATGAGAAAATGTTTAAACTTCCATCTCTGTGTTTAAACATTTCTCCCTGCTGACAGCAGCGGGATACCCCTTGATCAACTGTCAGACTTGAAAGTGCACTTTTTCTGGAAAGTAAACAGCATGTTAGCGGGTTGGAAATAATTTTCTGTTTATTGGTAGCTGTTAGTCTAGGAGTGATGGAGCACTGTGACAGCACTTGTCAAGTGAAGAATAAGAAATGAGTTTGGAAATACTTTCAAGACAGCCCTGACAATAGGCCCTTCCTATTTTTTGATAGAAATATACTCTAAAAAAGTTAAAGTAAAATGGGCAAAAAAAAACTTTTCCAGTGTTACCAGCTCTTGGAGATCTTGTGGCAAAACTGATACAGAAACAAAGGCAAACTGTGAATGCTGGGTACTGTGAAGTCAGAGGGTACGGGGCAGTCACTCAATCCAGCCCTCTTAGTTTACCATGAGAAACTGAGGCTCAGACAAGTGCCTGGACTCTTCTCAAAAGTAAGAGGAAAGCATGACAACTATCACCATAACAAAGAAATGAAGATTTTGTAAAATTTGTGTGTGAAGATCAATGGAAAAAATGATAGAGGCAGTTTAAATTTTTTGACCTAAGAATATGTAACAATGTTTAATGATGTACTTTCTTTTTGTAGTAGCTAAAAAGACATCATCATAGTCTTTTACTGATATTAAAAATATCCAGAAAAATGTTATTAATAGAAGTGACATATTTTCAAACTATACATAGTCATCAGTCTGTGCCTATATGTCAACAACACTTGCTGTCTTTCACTGAGATCATATTATAATGACATTTTGCTTTCTTTTCCAGAATTAGTAAAGCTCGGATAGCTCATGTTCTACATGGATAACCTAGGAATCGTATATGCATGAAAAGAAGCCAACCAGATTTAGGGTCAATAATATCTATTTTGTAGAACAAGTGAAAAAATTCATGGCGTAACACCCCACTGCTGCGCCTGACACAGAACAGGCACTAAATTAAAATTTTATTGTAATAAGTAAAGCTAACTGAAAAAAATTAAACCAAATGACACTTCCATTCATACAACTGTGTCCCCCTTCAGGGTATGAACTCCTCAAAGGCAGGAACTGTCTTATTTATCTGCCTGATCCCTGGGGTGGAACATAGTGGGGATTCATTAATTAATTCAGTTCTCATTCAATAAGCATTTACGTACTAAATTAATGAGTAAAATGGAAAATATTTGTGTTAAAACGGTGGCCTGCTGTTTGGGACTTAGATAGACTAACACATTTGCCCATCTTACAAAACAGAGAATCACACATTTGGTGGCTAGAAGGAGTTGTAGAGATCATCTTCAAAGATCCCTACTCCCAGGGGAGGAAACAAGACAACTATCCTGGAAATTCATTTTAATTTTAGCACTGAATGAAGTATTTCTGGGTTGATGAAGCTGTGTGATGCTGGCTAAGTAGAAAAGCAAGCCCACATCTATAGTAAGAGTGACTGGTGGTAGGGAGTGACTTAACTGGGAAGTGCCTGGTTTTCACGTGGTGAGGCAATGAGAGATGGAGAAGAATTTTAGGGGAAAAAAAAATCCCTGGAGGCACTTTAGAGTATTGTCAGTTCCAGATAATATAGCTTCTCTCCTGGGAAATAAAACACCATCTATCCAATGTGCATTGAAATTGCCATTGCTGGGTCCTTTTACAAGGTGGCACAGGGCGTGACTTGGGTCATTTAACAAGTGTTATTCAAGCAACAACAAAGATAAAATCAATGTAGCAGATGTAAGTGTGTAAATTAGTTTCTCTTTTTTGGATTAATGTTTAAAAAGCATTAACCATTTTATTCTTTGATATTTTTAGATGGTTATTAAAATGTTCCATCTTCTTATAAAATAACTGGCAAAAGGAGTATTCAGAAAGAAAAATGAGACTTTATATAAATGTTATATAAGAGCAAGAGCCTCATGCTTCTATTTGCACTGGTTTAGTTTTTCTCATCACAACTGTTTTGTTGCATAGTTATTGCCATTTACATCCTCTTGTTTTTACCAACCCTTAAGTTTATTTTTAAATTTTTTTTTATTTTATTAGTATATGCTTGCAGTTCATGAAGTTCCCCATCATCTAGGAAGTGGTTGCATGCATACACCACAGCTTGTTTCTTCTTATTTTTACTCCCTTTTCCCTCCCACCCCCCTCCCCGCTTCCAGTTCCCCTATCTCATTTTTC